GTGCTCCCGTCCCTGCGGCCACCCCTGGGGGCTGCCCGGGATTCGGACCCGTGTCCTGGCTGGGAAGGTGCTGGGATGGGTCCCTGCTGCCCCCGGGATCGGTCATGGAGGGGAGAGGGAGCTTAGAGGTGGGGGCTGAGCCCTGCTCTGCCCCTCTCAGCTTCAGTCCAGAAATGTGGGGCTGTAGCCCTGCTCCTGCCACCGAAGTGCATCCTCAGAACCACCGGAGGGAGCTGGGGCTCCTCTGCCTCTGGTGGCCTTGTGACCCGGGCTGGGGGGACAGCTGGGCTCCCTGTCACCCCTGTTCCCCTCCTCCTCACAGAGCACGTGGTGACCTGTGACACAGCTGATCTGGGGGGTACACGGGGCAGCCAGGAGAGTCGGGGTTCCCCTGTCCTCCCTGTGAACCCCAACCCACGCCGCAGCTGCCCAACCCAAATCCCTGATCTTCCTGAAGGTGGCAGGTCCGTTCACACCCCACGGCCACGGGGCCTGGCATGGCCAGAGGTTGGGCTTGATCCCTGGCCAGCAGCTCAAAGACAGCCCCAGCTGCTCCCCTCAGCTCCTCTGTCTCTTCTGGGTGATAAATGACACTTTGTGCCTTTCACGTGGGTGCTGGGAGACCTGAACTGGGTGCTGGGAGACCCTTTGGGATGATGGGAGGCAGCAAACGAGCTGAGCAGGTTGGCTTGGTTTGGCCAGGGGGGATTAATTAGCTGTGCTGGGTGTCCTGGAGTGGCCATACCACTGGGATCCAGTGTGGCATGTCCTGGCAGGCAGGGATGACCTGCAGGAGCAGCCAGGAGGCTGCAGGGCTGTGTCCTCAGTTCCTCACCTCTTCGTGTCCTCATGCCCTTGAACCTGCTGTTGTGGCAGCTGCAGGGATGGGATGGGAAAGGCAGATCTTTGGAAATCCAGCTCTGGGTGAGAGGGCAGCCGTGGTGCTGAGTCAGAAGCTCCTGCCTCTTCCCCTCTGTGGCCCTGGTGCTGCACAGAGCTGCTGTCCCTGTCCCAGTGCCACCTCGGGGCCATGGGCACAGCCAGGCAGGGCAGCACCAGCCAGCACTTGGGAAACCAGCCCTGGAGCAAGCCCAGGGTGCAACCAGGAGCCAGGGGGCTCCGGCTCCAGCTCCAGTGGGATGGCAATAGGGCAGAGAGGGCCCATGTCCCTTCACAAACCACAAAGTCCTGGCACTTCCACCCCTGTCAAGAGCTTCTTGGGCACAAAGGTTCCCTTGTGCCACTGCAGAGCCCCCAGCTTGGGGCACTAGGGTCGTTTTTCTGACACCTGTCTTGTCCCCAGCACAATTAAGCAGCTTTCCCTCCCCGCTGCCGAGGGCACCCACCCCCCTGCCACTGCTGTCACCCTGGGCATCCAGCTGTGGCTCTGCCCATGCAGATGTGGAGCCCCACCCAGGCTGGTCCCAGCCTCCAGCAGCGCTGGCTGTCCCAGACAAGGTCTCATCATCTCCTGGAAAATGACACAAACTTCCTATCTGTACTGGAAAGACCTGCCAGGCCGGGGAGAGCAGGAGGCAGAGGGTGCACGGCGGGCAGGGAGGAGGGGCAGGCAGCTGCTCCCTTGTCTGCCCCCAGCCCCCTAACCCCCTGTAGGGGCTGGTGAAGCCCCAGGTGGTGCAGGATGAGGCCCTGTCCCCAGGTGCCCCCTGGGGAAACAAGCTTTGTGGCTGCACAGGGAGGTGTCCCCGTCCCCCTCTGAGACACCCCAAGCTCAGAGTGTCCTCGGGTTGAGCCCAAAGCCCTGTCCCTGCTGCTGTGTCCATTGCTGGGTGGTGACACAGAGCAGCTCCTACCTGGGAGCTCCCTCCCCAGCACCTGCTGTGTCAGCTGCTTCCCAACCCCAAGCCCAGCAATAAAACCCTGCTGGGGCAGAGATGTGGCCATGGCACGGGGACACCTCTGCTGCCAGAGGGTGGCCCTATGCCCTGCCCCACAGCCTGGGGACTGCAGCCCTGCCCAGGCAATTCCTGCAGCTTTGCTCCTGCTGTGGGGCTGCAGAGCTGGACGGGGCCACCCCACCTCTGCCCAGCAGCGACAGGGACAGGTCAAGGGAAGCTGCTGCTTAGGTCCCCACCTGCTTTAGCCAACCCCAGCCCTGGACCCGGTCCTGGCCAGGCCCTTTGGCTTTGCTGTTGCGTTTTTTTGGGCTTGTTTGTTTGGTGCATTTGCTGACTCGGCGCAGCCCTGCTGCCCGCCTGACTCATCCCGCAGCTCCGGGCACCGCACGGCTCCGGGCGCGGCCACAAACTGCACACACAGCAGCAGCACCAGCTGGAGCCCACCCTGGTGGGGTGGCAGAGCTCCCACCAACTCTGCTGGATGCACAAGTGTTGGCACAGGCAGGCCCCACGTTGTCCCCCCCAGATCCTGCCTGTGCCAGGATGGATGACGTGAGCACCCCAAGAATTGCAGAGAGCCCCAAAGCCACCTCCTGTGCTCATGGGAATGCCCCAAAATGTCCTGCAGGATCAGAAGGAGGTCGGGGGAGCTTTAGGGTCTGGCTCGGGTTTACAGGGCTGGTTGCCCCAGTCTGGTTTCTCCTCCCAGGGTCTCTCCCTTCTCTCCCTGCAGCTCTGCCAGCCCCAGCCCGGCAACAAGGGGTGTTGGGGGGCTGTGACAGCCCCGTCCCCATCCCCCCCAGCATGGACTCCCCGTTCCAGCACCCCAAGTCCAGGGGCTTCGTCTCCAGCGCGGAGCTGAGCATGAAGCAAACGGTGCCGAGCGCTCCGGGGCCCGAGGGCAGGTCCCGCTTCCAGAAGGTCTCGCTGGTGTCGCGGCGGCTGGAGAGCGGCGGGAGCGCCCGGGGCCGGGAGGGGAGTCCCTCCCGCGTCTCCCTCCTGCTGCAGGCCTGGGAAAAGGAGATCGTGGAGAAGACATCGCCCGGCCCGGGCAGCCTGACCCCGCGGGAGCGCTCGTCCTCCTCCCTCAGCCTCCTCAAGGACTTCACCGCTCACGGCCCCGTCTTCTCCCAGGTGTATTCCCCGGCGCAGAAGCCCCGACGGCAGGACGAGAGGGGGAAGGCGGGGGCGGGCGATGGGGTCCCCCCACCCGTGGTTCCCCCCCGTGAGACGCCGGTGCACCGGGAGAGCTACGTGCACGGCACCCTCCTCCCCGTCCGTCCCTCCGAGCGCCCCAAGGGGGGTCCCGGGGAAGGGGCCGGTGCTCCCCGCGCTGCCGAGCCCGGTTGTGTCCCTGCCGTGCCCAGACCCCGGCAGGTCACGGTGCTCCGGACAGGCAGGGACGCAGCTGAGTCGGGGCCGGTGGGGACACGGGAAGCCCGGAACGGGATGCACGACGCTGCCGGTGCCACCACGGCCCCGCCACAGCGGGAGAGTCACGGGCAGGACGGCGGCAGCATCACCGGCACCGTGGTGAGCACTGAGAGCTCCCCGGGCACCGCAGAGACCACCGAGGGATCCCCTGGGGAGAACCACTCGCCACAAGCTGGAGCTGTGCCAGTGAAACCAGCCCCGAGGGACAGTGAGAGGCCCGGGGACCCCCAAACCGGTACAACCAGCTCCCCACAGTGTCCCTTGGTGGGCTCTGGTAGCCAGGCTGATCCAGCTGGAGCGGGAGAGGGAAGCACAGCAGAGGAGGATGGCACCATTTCAGCCACACCACCGAGGACAGAGATTTCCCCAGGAGCTGGCAGCACCCCTGAAAACCCCTCCTCAGAGCCAAGTGATCCAGAGTCTTCACCTGAAGCAGCAGCACCTCCAAAGGCTGAGCCTGAACCGGAGGAGGGAGAGATGACAGAAGAACCCCAGGGCATGGCTGAAGAGCCCAAGAGCAGCCCAGAGCTCCCTGCTGAGCCCCCAGCTCCTGACCCCCCATCCGAAAGCCCCCTGGACGCTATCGAGGAGGACGCTGAGCTGCTGGTGGACATGGAGATCTTCGTGGACACGCTGCGCAACATGGAGCCCTCGGAGATGCGGAAGGTGCCCAAAGCCCCGCGCCAGCCCCGGCCCTCCCCCTCCCCCTGCCCCAGGCCCTGCAGGAGCTGCTGGCACGGGGGACCACGAGGGACAGCCCCGAGGAGGAGCTGGAGATCGAGAACCCCTACCTGAGCCCCGAGGAGCGGGCGCTGGCCAGGAGCCTCCGTGGGGTGTCCCGGGTGGGCGGCGATGGCCGCGTGGAGGGGGACTCGCTGCTGGGGACGCTGAGGCACGTGGGGGCAGAGGAGAAGGGCAGGTTGTTGGGGGGGGGCTCGGGAGAGCACAGCGTCCTGTTCCGAGGGAACGTGCTGAAGGGAATGGCGCTGCTCTCCCACTTCCTGGAGCAGCGGGCGGCCGCGGCTGAGGAGCCCAAGCCCTACTCCCGCCTGGACAACAGCGTGCTCTACAGCCGCTTCGTCACCCCCAGCACTGCCCCTGCTGGGGACACGGCCTTGCCCACCCCCAACGACCACAATGGACTGGGCCCTGGTGGCCCTGAGATGGCCCTGCTGGAAGCCCCAAGTCCTGGCTCCATCTCTCCTGTGACTGAAGAGCCAGAGAACACCATGGACCTGTGCCTGCCTGATGTCCTGGTGAGTGAGGCTGGGAACGCGGCGCTGGGGAAGGGGCTCTGTCCCCTCGGGAAGGTGGTGGGAGCCCAGCCCTGGAGCATCTTTCCGTGTTCCTAGCACACGGATTGTGCTTTCTGTTAGAGAGGTGAAAGCCCCTGGTGTGATGGGATGGTACTGGGACGGGTGACAGGAGGGTACTGGGATGGATGCCATGGGAAAGTGCTGGGATGGGTGATGGAGGGTCCCGGGGCAGGTGGCAGGGGGTGGCAGGGCAGGCAGGGAGGCTGTCCCCAGCAGTGAGGGATCCTTGAGGTGTGGCTGCTCGGGGCAGTGGGAGGGTTTGGCAGACGCCAGACACAGGCTGTGGCTTCCTGGGGCTGTGGGGAGATGGCTGGTGCAGCTGATGTTCCTCCGTGCTCCTCACTTGCCCGTCCCCTCGGGTTTTCACAGCAGGAAGATGAGGAGGGCTTCAAGAAGATCAACATGAGACCTGGCAAGGTACAGGGAGTGTGGCAGGGCCGGGCTGGGCTGGCTGGGGCACAGTGTGGTGTGGTGCAGTGTGGTAGGATGTCCCTGCTGTGTCACCCCCTCCCAGATCATCCTCTTCTCCGAGGCCGGATTCGCGGGGCAGAAACGGGAGATCTGGGGTGATGTCCCCGACGCCACGTCCTGGGAGCTCTCACACACCATCTCCATCCGAGTCATCCGAGGCGGGTAGGGGCCGGGAGGGAGGGTGAGGAGGTGGAGGAAGGGCTTGGCCAGGGCTCCCCACGCTGAGGATGGTGATCCGGGAGTGACCGTCCCACCTCCCCAGTGCTAATTGCTGCGGCTG